CGCCCCGGGGGGCGCCCGGCGGCGCTTCTCTCCCTGCCGTTCCCCTGCCCCCTGCTCCCTCCCTCTAACGGCGGAGTTTCTCCGCGCCTTCCTTCATCTCCCGGGGATAAATAATAAATCCGGCGGTGTAACCGGGGGATTTCTGTCAGCTTTCCTGCTTACCGGCATGACCCCTGAGGAGTGCGCTGGGTCGTGACTGCTTGGGTCGGGTCGAAGGGGGGGCACTTAGGCGGTAAAGCACATGGCAACTGGTTTTTTTCCAACCCCTCGGCCTGTCGAAATAGACACCGATAGCTTTCCGCTGCCCTCCCTTAACGGAGTGACCGTGGCTGTGTTCCTGGCGCCGTGGCTCAGGTGCGCGGCTCACGCTAGGTTTTCTGTACTTGGAGCTCGAAAATGGCTTGTCTCCTCCTGTTCTCTCCTCCGCAGCCTGAGGTGAGAGGGAAGGTGCGAGGAAATGAGGGGTGACAGTGGTTAGTTTGAATCTCTTTCTACTTTGTTTTGAGATGTGCTGATATATCCACAAGTCGTCCATCTGCATACTCCTTCATTAGGGCATTTAGATTGTAATCCCATCAGCCTTTACTCATGAAAGTAATCCTTCTCTGAGCAGCGCTGTTGAAATCTGGGTAGGGTTTGCTTCTTAGGTCATCAATTCTCATTTTTTTCGTTGTAATCTTAGTAAGCAATTGTGAACAATACCCAGAGATCGTATTCTTTCTTTAGAGCTAAATGAGCTACCTGCAAGTCTATTTCTCTGTAGTGTAGCGTCAAAAGCACTGCAGAAGAGTTTTATACATCATTATGGTCTCCCCATCCAATTTTTTAAAATAAAGTTTGCAAGGTGCATGATGCAGAAGTCAAATATGAAGTGTAAAGTGTGGTTAGCATTTGACGGATACTTTTTCATTTGATGAAAACAAGATTTGAGAAAACGAAGGAAATGCGCTGCATGTCAATTCTTTGTATGTTACATGGGAGCAGCTTTCAGGATATGAGTAAACTTCCATATACTCTGTGAAAATATTTTTATATTAATGATGCTCTAAGAGATTTTGTCCTGGAATAACCTCACTAACCCCATGACTATTACTACTTAATATAGTTTGCATGTTACTGAACAGAGATGACAACAAAAGCAAGTATCATAAAATGTACATTACTCATATGGATAACCGTATTACCACATCACCTGATAATAAATACGACGTAGGGTATCTTACAGAAATACTTATCTCCATAATGTAGAAACTCACTTGAGCACTTCATTCTTAAATCTTCCCTAATCGATTGTGAGAAACCGCCGCTTTTATATCAAGATTTATGAAGTATGTGGATTACTGAATTACAATGTAAGCTCCAACACAAGGCATTTAACTTTATTTCAGCATGATTGTTAAAGCGCGTGTAGTGCAGTTATAACCAGAATTTAGGAACAAATTATGTTAAATCTCAGTATAGAAATTCTTCACTGTCTTAATGTTTACTAAGAAATCTCAGCTTTATAACAGCTTATAGCTTTAGAAGAAAATTTTTGCACTAATAATGTTATGCTTTTATGTATTATTTTTTGGTATTTCAATATCTTTCCTTTTTTCATTGCAGATTATGTTTATTTTGAAAATTCTTCCAGCAATCCATATCTTATTAGGAGAATTGAAGAACTTAACAAGGTACACAAGTATCTAAGATTCTTGCTTAACCTTTGACAACAGTCAGGGCACTTTTCAAAAACTGAGAATGATTTCCATCCCATAAGATTTCTATTGTGGTAGAATTTTCTGGTGTTTTTTTGTTTGGTGGGTTTTTTTTTTGTTTTTTAACTTTCTTGAGATTTGCTATGTATTTTGTGTATGTTTCAGTTACTGAAATCTTGCTGTGTGATATCCTGTAATTCTGCCCTGTTATCTAAGGAAACACCCAGTTGATCATTCCTGGTGAACAAGAGTACTCTGCTGTAAAAATTTCCAAACCAATCCTATGAACGCTTGAGGAAAGGAATGAATTTAATTCTTATACAGTGATGATAGTGTGAATCCATCTGGAATGACAGCAGTCATGTTGTGTGTCTGCTTTTGCATATATGTTTAAAGAGCTAGTAGGTACCAGTGATCAGATAACAGAATATGTGGCTTCTATGTCTGTTTATTGCTCTGCTTATTGGCAGCTGTGAATGAAGGACGGGCTTTTGAATAGAAATAGAGACTGTATTCTCTGTCTTTATCCTGAGTGTATTTTTGTAAAGAATGGAGGCTTTTCAGAGTGTTATCTTGGGGAAAGCATGATTATTTTTCTTCGTTCTTGTACTACTAAGAATGGTGTGGGATTTTTTTTTTTTTAGCGTGGCATATTTTTACTATTTCATCAAGCAGTATTAAAACTTACTGATACATTATGTCAAAAGTTTATGATCAAAATGCCTATCGTGATGTAAATAACGATAAAGATTTTTTTTTTTCCTGTGGTTAGAAAGTAAATTAAAAAATCGGTGACCTGCAAATGGTTTTCTTCTTATTAATGGAACATAACACTACTCCATAGCAGACATCAATCAGATTACCTGTTAGTGCTATCCAACACAACATCGACTGAGCTTGTGCACGGCAAATCATTTTGGACTTTTATTGGAGAAGAATATTTTTTATTTCCAGTAATTGAAGTGATTCCAATCATGTTCTGAAAGTAACATTTGTTATCTTTAAACTGCGTTGCTATAATTTAATCTTGCTCACGAATGGTAGAGCAGAGTCATGTATTGATTTCTTTTTTTTTTTTTTTTTTTAAAGACCGTTTCAATGATATAGTCCAGATATCTTAATTGTGGATTGTGTGCTGTCACGTGTTAAAGACTTTGAGCAAACATGGAGATGTAACACAAATATGTAATGAAATGCTTTGGTTACCATAAGATGCTTTCTTTATTTGGTGAGACACTTAATTAAAACATGATACTTTTCAGTGCCACATCTTGGGTTTTAAATAAGTAACTCAAGGTAATGAACTAATTTTGTACTTTTCATAACAAGAAAGAGGGTACAGTTCTTCAAGTATTAGTAGGTTCTTTACATTATCAGGCTAAAGAGCATGATCCCTGTAATGAGTCATGAAAACAACTGTGAACTAAATAGCTCTTTTATCTTACAAGCTGCAGTGAATTTTCAAATAAACCATGTTACATTAAATATGATTCAGAAAAAAATGCCAGAGTACTTTGAAATATACATTTCTGTGTAAAGCCGGGTTACAAAGAAATGTTTACAAGCTTCTGATATTTCTTAAGGATTCTTATGTTAATGTAATACTGGCATTATGTCTCTAAACAGCTGAATAATATGTAAATTCTTAGGACTAAATAATTGTAATCAATACTGTTATCTGATCTGAAATTGATATTGGCCTATGTCAAGAAGTTTTTACTTATTTGAGTAATTCTGTTGATTTCAGCCTGACTGATCACGTGAGAACTACTAATATAAGGGAAAATTGCAAGCAGAGGGCATTTAATTTGTGTTACTCAGCTGAGGAAGGATACATTCTGACTTGATTTGTCTTTCTTTTGTAGACTGCCAATGGAAACGTGGAAGCAAAAGTGGTGTGTTTTTACAGGCGAAGAGATATTTCCAACAGTCTTATAATGCTTGCAGATAAGCATGCTAGTAAGTAGATTGTATAGGGCATTTTTTCTTTCTATCACAGCCTGTTCAGTTTCTGCAGCTACTTAAAATTGCATTTCTTTGGCATGAGGAATAGATATTTATATTAGGCATTAATTAATATCCAATTAGATGCTTAGCATTGTCTGATACTGGCCCTGCTCCTAGTAGTTGTTTCTGGGACTTGAGTTAAGCTGTATTAAAGTGATTGGAAGTCTCCATCTGAAAAAAAAAAAAATCTTTTTTCATCTGAAAGATACAGCTATATTTCTTTTTTTACATCAAAAGTAAATTTTGGGTGTAAGTCAATTTAAGCTTAAGAGTGTTGGTGAGGATTTGATTTGATGTTTTTAGTTAGACATAAACACGTATTGCTTACTTTGAAGAATGAAATGTATCATTAGAGACTGAAAATCACTGGAGATTGTAAAATAGCTGTTATGTGCATTTATGATAAAAGTAGATATCAGTAAAATAGTAGTAAGCATCTCATTGTTTTTTCAGAAAAGCAACAAGTGATAATAGGGGAAAAGTCCCATTTTCATCTCGAACTTAACTTTTTTTGGTAGCTGCCGTTTGATCTACAACTGAAATACTGTGTTTTTCCATAACTTTATAATTAAAAATACAATTCTGAAGACAAAAACAGAACCTAAAAAACTGAGATGTTTGAGAAAATAGTTATTTGCAAAATATTGCACTCATGTTTGTAAATAACTGAAGTGTTAAAAATGTCAACGTCCGGTAAATTTCTTGCCATATACTGTTAAATAACATTTTGATTATAAATGATACTTGAGTTTTCAAAATGAGTATGTAAATAAGTGGCATAGGTATTATAAGTAATTTATCAGGATGGATCTCTTCAAAGACATTACCTAATGCCATATTTTGTGTGCAGATATATAATGGAGTAATTAGGTGCTTAAAAAAACACCTTACAATTTGTTTAACGTCAAATTCTGATAATTTTACTCATACAAGTACCTTTAGTGAAGAGAAACAGCTGGCTTTTGTTTTATTCTTTCATTGGTCTTAGAGAAGTGGAGGTGATTTGAGTACATAGTGTGAAGTACTAGCTTGTTTTTTTAAAGATGGGAGGTGCATCTTGCTTATGTTCTAAGGGGATGATTTATTTAAATGCTTTTCTAATATAGTTAGGTACACTTTATAATTACCAGTGACCTATTTTATGGTAGTCTGCCCCCACAATCATTACTGTCTTTTGAGTTCTTTCGTATGGAATGTATAGAAACATAGAACTTTTAGTGAGCTTCACTAAGCTTTCCAGCACATTTTTTTGTTTTTCTTTTCTAATGGAGCGGGCAGGGAAGGATGAAAAGGATAACAATTTTACTGGAAATACAATTTTTTTCATTTGATTTTTAAAATATGAATCTTTGTAAATTTTTTGGGGTTGGCTTATTCTTTAGAAAAGGATGTGTTAGTTCTGTGGGCACCATTTGATCTGGAAGAGTGCGTAAGATTTTTCTATTTCCTCTGTGAGTTTTAGATTGCCATTTTGTCAGCACTTTGATATAAAGGACTTGTTGACGGTCTGCTGCTCTTCCACTATAGCGTACTAGGGGTTTGTTGGTGTCAGTAGAAGTACCATGGAATCTTCCATCACGTTTTCTCTGTGGAGATTTTCTTCCTGTTTTCTAGCGAGAAAGTAGAAATGTAATTTCTAGCTGATTCAACAAGCATCTTTAGAATGCCTCTGTCTCACAGGTCGTAACTCTTCTAACCCATCGTTCTTATGAATTAGGTTTCTCTGTGGATGTTTCCTCTGTACGTAATGTTCTCTTTCTGACCAATTTGTGGAATCTGTACAGCTAAGTTATCTTACAAGATATATATTTCAGTTAGCAGGGGACAGCACATAGTGAAGAATTCGTGTAGCTCATGCAGCAGATGTAGTTAAATGTCAGATCAATTTAAATATTTTGATTCTGGAATACCACAGTGTTCTGTTTAAAAATACGATGTATGTAAACAAAATATTAGTTTATTTATGAATTGAATGTTTTGGGAATGTTTTATATAGCTAAACATGTTGATGCTTCAACACTTCTACCTGGTTTGTTATAAAATAAATGCTAAAAGATATGAGTTTTTTATGGAATGGAAATTCTAGTTCGGTCACTGGTTACTCCAGTGTACGTGTCTAGAGAAGTCTTTGAAGTATAAGATCTGCTTGATCTTTTCTAATGACATTCTATATTGCTAGCAATTCTTTTTTTTTTTCTTATAGAGAAAACTGTCCTGAGTAATGCACTTTTGAAGATTTTGGCAGGTGGGGATTGGGTTTTTTTGGGTGACACTTCAATTTCTGAAGGTTGCATTTTGTGGTGTAGGTATGGTCTCATTTAATAAGAGAAGAAAATAGCTTCGTAAAAAAATATTTTGGAACTTTAAGAACAAATTTTCCATAACTTCAAAAAGTTTCAAATCAATTTTAAAGAATATTTCGGAAGAATGGAATGATGTAGATCTGTAGTACTATCACTGGTAAAGAGTCAATGTACTGTTTTTTGAGCGGTTTTTTGTTTGTTTCTTTGTTTTTTAAGATGTCTTCAAGAAAGTTTCAGGATACAAAAAAAAGGGGGGGGAAAGGATAGAGGTTTCCTTAGGCCATGCTAAAATACTCGGGTACAGAGGAGTTCCCTTGATTTCAAAGCATCTGACACTAATCTGTGAGGAAATTGCATTTCCTCCATTTTTTCTCTGGTGTTTCTGGTGGAAGTTAATTTAACGAGCATTTTTATTTGTCTACCAGAATCATGTATGATGTCAGTCTAGATCTGGGAATAGTTCTATTAACTAAGAGTAGCCAGTGAAATGCAGGGGTTTTGAATGTTAATGGGCCCTTGAAGACATAACATTTGTCCCCCTTTGATTTCTGTTACGATAAACAGAGTGTCTGATAAGGCCAGCTTGAAAGCCAAAACAAAACACTGGCCAAGATCAGCTTCTTGATCCTATGCAGCCTCCTAAACTGAGTAGGGGAGTTCTATTGGGAGTGTAGCACGCACCAGCTCTTAGGCTGTAACCATTACCATAGGGTCACTGCGAGGGGGTCATTCTTTTCTTTGTGCAGCAGAGTAAGGCTTACTTTATGGGGAAAAGAAGGAAAAGAGATCAGTAGAAGACAACGGACAGTACAAGAGCTATTGCAACAGATGACTGAAGTGCATAAGCAAATGAACTTGGAGAGCTGGGACAAAAACACACAGCTCGTTAAAATGGGTGAAGCAAACATGAAGGGGTGGCATAGAGATGTTTTCTAACCAAATGGTGTGATTGAAAGAAAAATTGCCAGCTGTAGCTGGATCTATAAAATTTAGATGATCCTTTATCCAAAGTGGAGTTGGTGTAAATATTTTAGGGCAAGGTTTTAATAGCTGTGGAGGGGAGACTATACTAGCTCTGTACCAGCACTGGGTTTGGTTTACAGTGAAGGGCTCACGTTCTCTGTTTCCTCCTTTTGTAATAGATTTATGCACTATTACTTTCTTGAACTGGAGTAGGGTGGCCTGAGTGCACGATGACTTTTTTTTTACAGTTCCTTACATTTTGAATTCTTTATCTGGTCATGTGCTGTCACGCAATACTATGTCTGAAGTTATTCTCTCACTGCAACTCCTCAAACAGCTTTTACCTAGTCACCACCTGGGGAGGATATAAAAAAAAATTCCTGTTGTCAGAGGCCTTTGTCTTCTGATTTGAGAGAGCTTGCTTTGACTTAGGTGTGCTGAGCTCCTGACTAAATGCCCAGAATTTTTCTGGGCCTATGATAAAGCCCATGCACTATGTATTTTTTCTCATTAACAAAATTGATGCTCTTGTGAATGAGACAGTAGTCAATTTAAAAAAAATCTAAGGCATATTGGTTTCAGTGACTGAGAGATCAAAGGTAAAACTGAGATTTTTCTAGATTACAGAAGCGGTAGTCCAAATATCCTTTTTTCAATCTCAATTGCTTTTTGTAGAGGTGACTTACTGGCTTTACTTCTCATAGTTGTGCATTTTTTAGGACTTTTCTTGGCCTTCAGCTCTTGAACAGTCATGTTTCATGTCACATTGCTTTGCAAAATGGTGGTTTTGCTATAGAATTTTTCTACACGATAGATAGGGAGGCTGAGGGGAGACCTCATCGCGCTCTACAACTACCTGAAGGGAGGTTGTAGCGAGGTGGGGGTTGGTCTCTTCTCCCAAGTAACAAGCGATAGGACGAGAGGAAATGGCCTCAAGTTGCGCCAAGGGAGGTTTAGACTGGGCATTAGGAAAAACTTCTTCACTGAAAGAGTGGTCAGGCCTTGGAACAGGCTGCCCAGGGAAGTGGTAGAGTCACCATCCCTGGAAGTATTTAAAAGACGTGTAGATGAGGCGCTTAGGGACATGGTTCAGTGGGCATGGTGGTGTTGGGTTAATGGTTGGACTTGATGATCTTAGAGGTCTTTTCCAACCTTAATGATTCTATGATTCTGTGATTTCTAGGAGGAAAGGAAGAGTCCTGCTACTGATCTAGTGATTCCCGTTGAACAGTTGGAGTCTGTACTCAGTTCTGACCTTGATATGACACTGATGTACTGTGATCAGAAACAAATCAAGTATTCTCTCGCTACTTTAGTTTCTTTATCTGTAAAGTAATGCTCTTATTAGAAGTTCTTGCTAGGGTTGGTGAAAAAATATTTAATAATACCCATACGTTTTTATAGCTCCCATTAAAAGATCTCAAAGCACCTTACAAATAATTACCCTAAAAACTAAGAGTTTATTTTGTATATTAATATCAAGACTGTTTCAACAGTGCTGGAAATGGTTTGATCTTACACAGCAGCTTTGCTGTTGTTGAGCTCTCTTACTTTTATGTAAAGATGCTTTGTATTTGTGGAAAAAAAAAAAAACAATTATTTTGTGTATTTTCAATCTATGTTAGTATCATAATAGTTGCCAAACATTCCAGTTGCACCCAAGAGAATGGAGCTGTTAATATTCCA